ATTTTCGTCTCTACTGCGTCACTTGTGGACGCGCGTTCACGACAGTACGATGACGCGAGCATGTGGCGGTGCCGGCACTGACCCAGATCTGGCGTAATGACGTCATCACGCCGGATCTTAGTCAGCACCGGCGCCGCCACACGCTCGTTGGCGTTTACAGTTTACAGTTGAACCACTGATGTCATACGGACTACTTTGTCGATCATCTTGGTACTTTTCTGGACCTTAAACATGGTAGTTACCTTGCTGTCTATGGGAGGGTCAGAGAGCCCTCAGATTTCATCAAAAATATCTTAAATTGTGTTCCGAAGATGAATGAAGGTCTTACGGGTTTCGAACAACACGAGTGTGAGTAATTAATGACAGAATTTTCATTTTTGGGTGAACTAACCCTTTAAGTGAGTGTGCATTTACATTTTTTCTTTATTTAGTATACCAACAATGCCCTTTTTAACAATAAAAAGGATTTGACCTTTGACTCTTAACCATAATCCAGTATGACTGTCCTGTTCATGTGTCACATTGTTTTTATTTATGATAATGAAAGTGATGATAACTATTTACCTTATCTTCTCTAAAAAGGACAGATGTGTAATTCTCTCAAAATACATAATTTTAAGGGACATTTGGGAATGACTACACTCTTGGTTTAAAATAATAAAAATAACTTTAAAATACACGTTTTTTTTTTGCACTAGATGAATAAAAGGATAGTTCACCTAAAAACTCTATGTATATTTAAATGTAAACAAAAGCATAAATCTGTTCCTTATAATAAGTGCTAATGTCTCTTAAGAGGACTTAATTTAAGCAGCATAATTAATATGGATTATGCTGGATGGACTTTTTAAAGCGTCAATGTTTTAGTGGAATGGTTTTTAAGTGGAGGGACAGAAATCAGGTCAGGTCTAAAAAGTCATCATCAAGCGGGTTTGGAACAACATGAGGGTGAGTAATTAATGACAGAAATGTTCATTTTTGGGTGAACTATCCCTGTAAAACTCTGACATGATCTTCATTACAAAACTGATTAATAGCAATTAATACCAACCAATTAAAACCTGAATATTTTAATCATCACTACTCACAGAAGTGTCTTCAGTTCGTAATCCGGATCATCCTTCAGAGCAGAGAGCAACTTCACGTCTGACTTTCCAAGAAAATTTCTAGTCAGATCCAGTTTTTGTAGGTGAGAGGGGTTTGATCTCAGAGCTGAAGCCAGAACAGCACAACCTTTATCTGTAACACTACAATCCATCAGCCTGTAGAGAACAATAATACTCTTCACTCTCAGCATATAAAGCTCAGATAAGAAGAAACTTCACAGTCAAATGAGAGATGATTAACAGGCCCAGTCTAAGGTGCAGACCTATTTCTACATGAGTGTGAGGGTGTTAATATCATAAAAAGTAAGATACTTTAATTTTCCTTATCATGCCTGTGTGATATGTAAGCAGTTGTGATATGAAATATTCCAATCATCCAGTCATGTTCATGTTTTGACCAAGTAGCAATAGTAAAATTATGTCAGATCAGTGTTGGGCAAGTTACTCTGAAAATGTAATCAAATTACTGATTACTCCTTTTAAAAGTAATCACGTTACTGTTCTGATTACTTTATTTCAAAAGTAATTAGTAATTAGTTACATTACTAGTTACATTACTTTTTTCTCCATTAAATTTATGAAATCCCAGCATATACGCTCCCGATAAATATTTTTTATTTTAATTATATTATTATTAACAAAGGCCAGTATTTTTTTATACCAATACTGCTACTGATGTCTCTATTAAATGCATTTTCACCTCAATTTTAGCCAACTTAAAACAATCTTCACAAACTATAAATTGTATTTGATAGTTTTGGCATAATTGTGTGTTTTTGTCGGTTGAAGAGCTACTGGCGCGCTGTCTGAAGCTGCTCAGCGTGTGTGTACAGCCAAACGCGCAGCCTTTCAAACTGTACTCCATCTGATAATCATCTTCGTTCAGTGTCTGCGCCATTTCTCGCCAGAAGTTATGACCGATAACACTGTCTTGAAACTCGTTTAAACTAGAGTTGTGGATATCTCATAACCCTTTCACACAAGCGGTTGTCAACACTGCCGTCTATTGATGTTGCGGTCTCCGGTAGATTGTTGTTGTTGCGTCTCTTCCTTTTCTTTTTTGGCTGTGAAACCATGGCCTGGGCCAGTGATGCCACCTTGTGGACAAATTAATTAGTGCTAAAACAATTCAAAGCATATGTGCGACCTGCGCGTACTCTTCCCTCGGGCCGGATGAAGATGATTGGCGGGCCGGATTGGGCCCGTGGGCCGCCAATTGAATAGCCCTGTCTTAGATATTTTATCTTCAATTTTGCGGGAGTCCCGTGATTAATTTTATTCTCCCGCATCCTGCACACACACGAGTGTCTACCCGCCCGCACCAGCACTCGCCCATCTTCTCCCGCGCTGCTGTTGCATAGGGTCTCGCGGGAGCAGGTCTTTAATCCACTGGCACTTGACTCGACAGTGCGTGTGCTACATCCTTTTTACAATCTCTAGATTAGAAATCACTGGATTCTGTCAGCAATGTAACGCGGCAGTAACGTATAGAGACCTCAGCTTGTAACTATACTCTAATTACTATTTTGAAAATTATAATGTGTTAAATTACTCCGTTACTAAAAAAGTAATCAAATTACAGTAACTGCCCAACACTGTGTCAGATACTTTGGGAAGAATCTAATGAAGATTAAGACAACATCCACTTCAGTTATTTGACAGGACACTTTTTTGAGTATGGTTTAGTTTTTGTTTTAATTTTGTTCATTATTCGCCATAAGAGGAAAATTGAGGAGGATGCTGACACATTTATACAATCTTACCACAGTGTTTCGAGTTTACAGTGAGGATCCTTCAGTCCATCACACAGCAGATCCACTCCTTTGTCTTGTAATTTATTTCCAGACAAATTGAGATGTCTTAGGTGTGAGAGGTTTGATCTCAAAGCTGAAGCCAGAGCAGCACAAACTTTATATGTGATACCACAATTAATCAACCTGTAGAGAACAATGACACTCTTCAGTCACTCTATGCAGGATATAAGCCCAGATAAGCAGGAACTTTACAATCAAAAAGAGACTAAATCAAAGAAAAATTGAACAGATCCAAACTAAGATGCAGACCCAGTTCTACATGGGTGCTTAATGGGGTTAATTTCATAATAAATGAAGAGTAATTTATGTTATAAATAATAGTTTATTTCCCCTTCAGGAACTAGCTCTGAATGGCGAGACATAATAGGTGGGATGACGTAGCAACCAGGACGCTTAAAACCACATACGGTGAAAACAGCGTTAGCTTCTGCTTCTTCAGTAAGCTCTCTGTCTCCATTTGTCTGATGTGTGTGTGTGTGTGTGTGTGTGTGTTTGTGCCACTGCACAACTCTATTATGGCGAGTGTTTGCAAAAAGAGTGACAAGCAACGTTTTAGATTGTGTGTACCTCCCTGCACTCGCTTCATTACGGGCAGGGATACACATGATCTTTACCTTGCTTGTCTGGGAGCAGAGCTCTCAAGGGGGTTGACTGTCCGCATTGCTAGCGGCTCTCGCTGTGTATGCCCAGGATCGGAAGCCCGCTCGGCAGTTTCTTCCCCTGCAGAGAGGGCTCGATGCTACGTTTGTCTTCCTCTGAGGAGGTTGATGTGGTGGGCATCGATGAAGATGAGACTAGGGCGGTGGACAAGCTTAACATCAATTGGCCTGCCGAGAAGCAGGACGATCATCCTAATAGTAAATTGGACAAACGCCTCCTGTGTTCTAAGCCACTACCCCCATGCTGGGGCCTTCCGTTTTTCACTGATCTTCACACCGAGGTGTCTAGATCGTGGGAAAAATCATATTCAGCCCGCATCTTCATCCCTATGGTGCTGAATTATTTTGAATTATCCTTCTAAGGGCAGACCCCTCTGGGGAAGAGCGGTGTACAACTCATCATATGGTGCTCGTCTCTCCTCAGTGCCCTCAGGAGATCAGTCTGTCAATGCTGCCACCTCTGGTGCTTCAGGGCAGAGCAGTCTCCAGTGAGCACAGCTCTCAGTGTCCGCCCAGAAATGAGGAGGCTCGTATCCTCCAAGAGCAGCCAGTTTGGTCGTTCCCTGCCGGTCATCCGCTTCAGGCCACAAAGTTGACTGCTCAAAGTACACCAGAAGTCAGTCTCAAGAGACAGATTCCCTTAGTAGAACATCTGGCAGCATGGAAACTTCTGCCAAATGTCTCAATGGGTCCTGCTGACTGTAGAAAGAGGCTACAGAATCCAGTTTGGTTCTCATCTGCCTCGATTCGACAGCGTCATTTCCACTCTGGTGGGCCCTGTGCAGGCTCTGGTAATGGAATAGGAAATAGACACTCCCTTGAGGAGGAGGCCATAGAACATCCTGTCGAGGCAGGGGCCGAGGCCCGGGGAATGGAGGCTCCACCTTGAGGTGGTGGAGCAGATCTGGAGGGTGTTCAGCCAGGCCCAAGTGGACTTGTTTGCATCTCACATTGTCCACTCGTGGCAAAGGCTGCATCTGTACGCATTTGCCCCGATTGCTCTGCTCCTGTGAGTTCTGGAGAGAGTGCGCCGGAACTGTGTTCATCTGCTGCTAGTAGCCCCGTTCTGGTTGGGCCGAGTATGGTTCTCGGACTTGGTGGCCCTTCTCAATGGCTCTCCTTGGGAAATTCTCGTCAGGAGGGACCTCCTCTCCCAAGCGGGGGACTCGATTCTTCACCCCTGCCCGGAGTTATGGAAACTGTGGGTGTGGCCCCTGAGGGGGCACAGCTCATAGCTTCCGGTCTCTCAACTGAGGTTATTGAAACCATTCTCTAGTCCAGAGTTCCCTCCACTAGGAAACTGTACTCCTTGAAGTGGAACCTTTTCACTTCTTGGTATGACAACCGTCAGCTTGACCCAGTCAACTGCCCGGTTGGTTCAGTGCTCGAGTTCCAGGAACAGTTTTCCACAGGGTTAACCCCTCCAACCTGAAGGTGTACGTGGCGTCCATAGCTGCTTACCACAGCCCTCTGGGTGGTCAGTCATTGGGGAGAAACCCATTGGTTACACGTTTCCTCTGTGATGCCTTGAGGCTGAGGCCTGTTTCGCACTCTAGAGTCCCGTCCTAGGATTTGACCATGGTCCTATAAGCTGTCTGTAAGCCTCCCTTTTAACCCCTTGAGGAGGTTCCGGAGAGGTTCCTCACAGTTAAGATTGTTTTCCTACTGGCCATCTCTTCCCTTAAGAGAGTTGGTGACCTTCAGGCCCTTTCGGTGGCCCCTTTATTTCTGGAGTTTGAGCCTGGTTTGGCTAAGGCAATCTTATACCCTAGGCCAGGATATGTGCCTAAGGTGCCCACCGTAGTTCCGTTGTGCTGCAGGCTTTCTGTCCTCCTCCCTTTAGTGACCCAGACCAGGAAAAGCTTAATCTTATTTGTCCAGTCAGAGCACTGGACACTTATGTCCACAGAGCTGACCTGTGGAGAAAGTCCTACCAGTTATTTGTTTGCTTTGGTCCGCCAAAGAGAGGTCTATCAGCGACCAAGCAGAGCTTAAGTTGGTGGACTGTGGATGCAATATCTTTGGCTTATGAGTCCTCTGACCTCCCTTCACCATGGGGGGTCAGGGTGCACTCTACTAGAAGTGTGGTAGCCTCCAAGGCCTTTCTCTCTGGGGTGTCAATGCATGACATCTGTAATGCTGGAGGTCTTCCCCGCTTACATTTGTCAGGTTTTACAACCTCGACATGGGAATCACTCCTGACTCCTCTGTTCTCTCGTCCTAGTTGTGTAGTGTCCCACACTAGGCAGGGATTTGTAATTATGGCGGAGTGGGTATTCTCGTTCCCTAAGCGTTTCCAAAACAGCGTGAGTTCCTGAAGGGGAATGTCTCTAGATTATGATTGTAACCATGGTTCTCCGAAAGGAACAAGACGCTGCGTCTCGTTGCCATAATTCCTGTATCCCTGCGAGCGCTTCCTTCACTAATCAGAAGTTAATTATCTTTTCACCGCACATGCTTTTAAGCTTCCTGGTTGCTACATCATCCCGCCTATTACGTCTTGCCATTCCACTGGACTGATTTCACACGCGCTTCAGAGTGTGGTCACGCAGAGGCGTTCCCAAAGCATTTCTGACGCAGCATTTCGTTCCCTTTGGGGAACCATGGTTACACACATTAACCAGAGTTCAGGGGCATAGCCATCATTTCAGAAGTGAGGGGGACAGAAATGTCAAATGTACTG